GTGGGGTTGTTGCTCAATGGTGGGGTTGGCTCAAGGGTGGGGAAGGGTATTAGGAGCACAAGTAATGACCTTCTGGACTGACTGCAGGTTGGATCTGGCTGGCCCTCTTCCTTCTCACATCCTCCTCTTTCTGCCCAGGGCATCTGGATCCCCGATGGGGAAAATGTGAAAATCCCAGTGGCCATCAAAGTGTTGAGGGAAAACACATCTCCCAAAGCCAACAAAGAAATCTTGGACGTAAGCCTCTCCACCCTCTCCAACCGGGAGTACAGGAGGGACCCCCTGGCTGCTGGTCTGGGCTCTGGGCTCTCTCTTCCCTTGGGTTTGGGGAGACACTTTGTGATTCCCCAAACCTCGACTCTTAACCTCCCCAGTTTGTGGGCCATGGTTCTGGTTTGTGATGGATGGGGTTGGATTGGGTGAGGGTCCCTAGGCTGCCTTGGCCCTCAGGAGGGGTGTGTGGTGGTTGGGGGTTTGTGGTCTCCCATACCCTCTCAGTGTGTACCCTTGCCCCCAGGAAGCATATGTGATGGCTGGTGTGGGCTCCCCATATGTGTCCCGCCTCCTGGGCATCTGCCTGACTTCCACAGTGCAGCTGGTGACACAACTTATGCCCTATGGCTGCCTCCTGGACCACGTCCGAGAACACCGTGGGCGCCTGGGCTCCCAGGACCTGCTGAACTGGTGTGTGCAGATTGCCAAGGTATGCTCTTAGGGGGCCTGGGCTCTGCAGGTGCCCTTGGGGGTAAGCCTCTGTCTCCACGCAGGGCTAGGTTGGGGAGATTTCCTGGGAGGGTGTGGCCAGAGCGTGGTCCACATGGATGCCTCTGATCCCAGGGGATGAGTTACTTGGAGGACGTGAGGCTCGTGCACAGGGACCTGGCTGCCCGGAACGTGCTGGTCAAGAGTCCCAACCATGTCAAGATTACAGACTTCGGACTGGCTCGGCTGCTAGACATTGATGAGACAGAGTACCACGCGGATGGGGGCAAGGTTAGAGGAGGGAGCAGATTGAGGCAAGGTGGAGTGGGGTCTGGCCTCTGGGAGAACTCTGAGAACAGCCACCTCCCCACCACACCTAGTTCAAGGACTTCCTCCTCTGATCTCCCAGGTACCCATCAAGTGGATGGCATTGGAATCCATTCTCCGCCGGCGGTTCACCCACCAGAGTGATGTGTGGAGCTATGGTGCGTGGTGGGGCGGGTTGGGAGGGGTGGACAAGGAGTTGTGGCCCTGGGGGAGATGTTGGTGGAAGGATGAGAGCCAGGATGGGGAGAATTAAGAGACACCTTACCGTGAATGTGAGAGGGAAGGGAGGGGCTGCCAGTACCTCAACCTGCCAGGGTCTGTGCACTTCCCAGGGATTGGGGAACGACTGGGTGGCTCCTGCCCCTTGGCATCGCATCCCTCCCCTCCTTCCCCTGTGGTACCAGGCTGTTGGGCAGAGGCTTTGGGGCTCAGTACACTAAAGCTCCCTCTGGTTCTCCCACCTCTTAACTTCATCTCTGCCCAGGTGTGACTGTGTGGGAGCTGATGACTTTTGGGGCCAAACCTTACGATGGGATCCCAGCCCGGGAGATCCCTGACCTGCTGGAGAAGGGGGAACGGCTGCCCCAGCCCCCCATCTGCACCATTGATGTCTACATGATTATGGTCAAATGTGCGTGCTGAGCTGTGCCAGCTGCTTGGAGGAGGGGTGGGAGGTCCTGGGTGGAGGGGCCTACAAAGGGCATGGGAGGGGGCCAAGAGCAGGATGTGGACCCAGGAGCCCTGGTATGGTTAAAGGAGCCTCAAAAGGGTCTCGCTTCCCTTTTACAGTACCAGTCCAGAGGAGCTCTAGAGGACCAGCTCGAAAGAGACCTATATGCAAAATAAAAGGGGATACTAATAGAGATTCTCAAATGTTCTGGCTCAGGCCCTGAGTCTGGTACCTCTTCTCTACCAGCCGAGGGCTCTGAACTCTAGTAACTGGGGGTGTCTAGACTAGACTGCAGAGGGAGGGAGCGGGGCGGCACGCAGGCTGCAGCCACAGCTGAGATGCTGAGCTCCCTCCCGTCCCCAGGTTGGATGATTGACTCTGAATGTCGGCCGAGGTTCCGGGAGTTGGTGGCCGAATTTTCCCGCATGGCCAGGGACCCCCAGCGCTTTGTGGTCATCCAGGTATTGGGCATTTCCTCCCCATCCTTGCCTATGACTTGAGAGTGCTCTCCTGCAGAGGGTGGAAAGGGAGATGACTCCTGGGTCCCAGGCCTCCAAGCCCAGCCCTGGCCTGACTCGTCATCCCTCTTGTCCTCCCTAAGCCTTCCTGGGAGGCTGCACACTGGGCTGGGGAGAGGCTGCCATCCTCTGTCTCCCTCTTCCCCAGAATGAGGACTTGGGCCCTGCCAGCCCCTTGGACAGCACCTTCTACCGCTCGCTGCTGGAGGATGACGACATGGGGGACCTGGTGGATGCTGAGGAGTACCTGGTACCCCAGCAGGGCTTCTTCTGCCCAGACCCTGCCCCCGGTGCTGGGGGCACAGCCCACCGCAGGCACCGCAGCTCATCCTCCAGGGTCAGTGCCCTCGTTCACACTGTGGTGGGTGGATTTGGTTACGTCTCCCGACCCCAATGGACTAGGGTCCCTTTCTCTGATGTCCCCCCAACCATCTCCTCTCATGGAGACCCCATTATCCCTAACGAGGATTCCTACTGCTTTCCAACCCGTGACCCCATTCTCTCCACGGTGACTGTGTCATAACCCAAAGGTGACTTCTGTTCATCTCCTGTGACCCTGTCACCTCGTGGAGTCTCTATCCCAGATCCATGAATGACTCCCATCATGACCTTTTCTTTCGTCCCCAGAGTGGCGGTGGTGAGCTGACACTGGGGCTGGAGCCCTCCGAGGAGGAGCCCCCCAAGTCTCCACTGGCGCCTTCAGAAGGGGCTGGCTCTGATGTGTTTGATGGTGACTTGGGAATGGGGGCAGCCAAGGGACTGCAGAGCCTCCCCCAACATGACCCCAGCCCTCTACAACGGTACAGCGAGGACCCTACAGTACCCCTGCCCTCTGAGACTGACGGCTACGTTGCCCCCCTGTCCTGCAGCCCCCAGCCCGGTATGGAGTCCAAGCCTGAGCTGAGAGATTGGGAGGTGGGGGAGTTGGGGGTGCTTGGCCCAGGGCCCACTATGAGGGCAGTGGTAGTAGCCGGGACACATGGGTTCTGTCCCCTGACAAGCCCCCTTTTCTTGCCTTTTCAGAATACGTGAACCAGCCAGAGGTTCGGCCGCAGCCCCCCTCACCCCTAGAGGGCCCTCTGTCTCCTTGTCGACCTGCTGGTGCCACTTTGGAAAGGCCCAAGACTCTCTCCCCAGGGAAGAATGGGGTTGTCAAAGACGTTTTTGCCTTTGGGGGTGCCGTGGAGAACCCTGAGTACTTGGCACCCCGGGGCAGAGCTGCCTCTCAGCCCCACCCTCCTCCAGCCTTCAGCCCAGCCTTTGACAACCTCTATTACTGGGACCAGGACCCATCAGAGCGGGGCTCTCCGCCCAGCACCTTTGAAGGGACCCCTACAGCAGAGAACCCGGAATACCTAGGCCTGGACGTGCCAGTGTGAGCCCAAAGGCCAACTCTGCTGAGGCCCTGCTGAGCCTTCAGAGTGGGGAAGGCCTGCCTTCTGGCCTGCGTTGGGACCAGGCGGGGAGAGGGCCCTTGGACCACTTCGAGGGGAGCCCGCCATACCAGGAACTTTCTTTCCTCCTCCAATTCCCAGGTGGCTCAGAGGGGCCCAGCCTGGTTGGAAGAGGGGGCAGCACTGGGGAGTCTTGATTGATTTTAGAGTCCTGCCCCAGCAGACTCTAGGGTCCAATGGATGCCACAGACACAGTCTGCTCATCTGAGGGAGCAGCTCAGCCTGGCCCTCTTCTTTCAGATCTTGGTCACTGAAGGACTGAGGGAAGCTGGGCCTAGGAGGGGAAGGGCCCAAGGGAGTGTCTAAGAACAAGAGCAGCCCACACAGACTGTCCCTGAGACCCAACTCTGCCCCCAGGAAGAAGGGAGCAGCAGGAGCCCCCAGATCCAGTGCTTGTACAGAGTGCTTTTCTGTTTTGTTTTTACTTATGGTTTTTGTTTTTTTTAAGATGAAATAAGGACTCAGGGGAGAGTGGGTACTGTGGAAGGGAAGGGGTGCCCCTGGGTTTCGGGGAGGGATGGCCCTTCTCCACACCCACTTTCTCCATTGGCAAATATATTTTGGAAAACAGCTGGGCACCAGCCTATGTCGGGATGGCTCTGTGCCATCCCTTACTGCTCACCTCCTGACTTAACACTCAACTCTTCTTTTCCTGGAGGGAGTGGATAGGAATCTTCAGCAAGTTTGAGGAGCCTCTCTTCCAGTCTCCTGGCTTTTGGGTTGGGGGGATCTGGGAGTTGGGATTCTGATCTGAGAGCCCTTTGACAACCAGATCATTCTTGCTTACCAAAAAATGAATTCCTAGGGCCACCCACCAGAATGGGATAATTTCCCCCTCTGGGGAGGGGCAGGGGAGGAAGGGGTAGAGGAAAGAAGAGGCAGTGTCTACTGTGTGACTCATTTTCCTTGCCTTGGTTATGAGAGAGGAGATCACTGAACTAGAAGTAGCTATCCAGAAAAAGCCCACCCACCCAGCACAGCCACCCTGGTGGTATAAAGGCTGGGCTGGCCACTGTGCACCCCGTCTCCCACACACACATTCCCAAACTGGACATAAAAATAGACACTAGTTGGCATAGGTGTTTGTAGTGCCACTTTATTGCCAATAGCTGACATTGCCCAGGGCTAGTGGAAAATAAGAACTATGGTGGCATCTGACAGGTATGGCTAAGCTGGACAGGGGAGTGGGTTTTTGTGGGCACTGATCCTGGGAAGGGGGTATAAGGTGGCTGTGGAAATGTCCACGGAGAAGGTTTCTCTCCCATTCCAAGACCACAGAAGCTTCTATTGCCTCCTGGTACCCAAAGGGGCACCAGTGTAGCCACACTGTATTCCCACTCCCAAGACCACTGAAGCTTCTATTCCCTCCTGGTACCCAAAGGGGCACCAGCGTAGTCACGTGTAGTCACAGGATGATGCAGGGAGGACGGCTGTTGGTGATCTTTTCTAGGGGTTCTCCATTACTGGCTCTTCGGATAGCCTCAATGAGCTATAGGGCAGAGATGTGGAATGGGATGATGCATTGTAGGGGCAGGGTGAATCAGGGGGCCTCCCAACACTGCACATACTCACATCTTTCTCATAAGGAAAGCCCCCATTCTCCAGCTTAGAGAACACCAGCTGTCCATTGATCTCGATCTCAAAGGCCCCTGGTATTAAATAAACCGATGAATGAACTGTATGCTGAGAACAGGCAAAAGTCAGGGGAGTCCCTCCAGAGGGAGTCCCTCCACAGTCCTTAGGCTTCACCTAGGCTCCTTCATGTCCCCCACTGACCCCATTAGAAACTTGTAATTCTTTAAGCCATTTCCCAACCCTGGGTCAAGCCAAAGAAACCTAAGCATCACCTGTGTGTCCTTCCTTTGAACTCGGCTTCGTAACTCGATGAAGAGCAGCCCCCCCCTCCAACCCGACACTTCTGTAGTCTCACCGGTTTTTCTCTACAGGCTTCATCTGTGACCCCCTCACCTATGGAAGGGGACTCAAGTTGGCTGGATATTTTACTATGTGCCAGACACTGCTGGACACTATATAACAGCCAATGCCAGAGCTAGAAAGTGGTAGAGCTGTGATTTAGAACACTGACTCAGCAGGTGTTCTGCGGGCCTCACCTGTGCCCCCCAGGCGCGACTCGATCTCGATGCCAGGATACTGCTCCTTCACGGCACTCGCCAGCTCCAGGTAGGTCGCCTCGAAGCCGCAGGGTTCACTACGGAGACGATACCTGGGGTCCGCTTGGGTTTCGGGAGAGGGGCCTCTGGGGACCCACTCCCGTCCGGTCCGGACCCCCCACTGGCCAAAACCGCTCACCAGTACTCCACCATGATGCGGACCCCACTGCCCGGTTCGATCTCCCCGGGAGGGGGCGCTACCGACGGCGGCCCCGGCTCCCCACTCATTGCGGCCCGCTCGGCTCCAGCCGCTGCTTCCGGGTGTGCGCTACGCCGCGGACACGTGACGGGGCGGGGGCCGCACGTTACGTTCGGGCGCCCCCTGCAGGCCGCGGTTGCTGCTACGTTTTGCCTCTATCCCAGCTCGAGGGCTCCGAGCGGGGTGGACGGGTCCAGACCTCCTTCCCGGGCGTGGCTTCTCAGAGCGCGGGGCTTGTCCAGCAGCTGGTGTCTGCCGGGCTTCACGGGCTATTTAATCTAATGAAATATCTTAGACTGCAAGGCGCATGCCGGTTTACAAAAGGAAGACAAAGTGGTGGGGCAAGACGACCCAGGGCCTGGGGTTTGGTATGGAATAGTTGCCATTTGTCGCTAACATGTTGATGGTATTTTAAACCACCCCATAGTCACACACCCAAATACTCTGACTCTTAAAACTCTAAACTGTAGGCACAGTCTGGGGCAGAGACCGCCACCCCCCTGCATTCGGAAGCTTTAGGCTTTGGGGTCTCCTGCTCCTGAGGCTCTGTGCTCCCATCACGTGCACCCAGTTTCTGCAACTCCCGTCTCTCCCAGCCTCCCTACAGGGCGGGCATCGTTATTACCATTTTGTAACTCTAGAAATGGAGGCTGTCTCGCTGCCTCTTCCTTCCCACTGTAGTATACTAACAGGTCACCCACTTTAAACCGTTCATTTTTAAACAATTCAGTGATGTATAGAGTTGTGCGACCATCACTACAATCCAGTTACAGAACGTCTCTATTAACCTAAAAAGGTCCCTCCTGCGTGTTTGCAGTCAATCCAGCCCCCAGCTCCAGCCCTAGACAACCACTGATCTGCTTTCTGTCTATAAATTTGCTTTTTCTGGACATTTCATATAAATGGAATGATACAAAATGTGGTCTTTTGCTTCTGGCTTCTTCAGTATAAAGTTTTTGAGGTCCAGCCATGCTGTAGCATGTACCAGTAGTTCCTTTTTGTTGCTGAGTAGTATCCCATTGTATGGCTATACCACCTTTTGTTTATCTATTAATACCAGTTGATGGACATTTGAAGTTTCCAGTTTTTCCCTATTTTGAATAATGCTGCTATGAACGTTCATGTAAGTGTCTTTGTATGTATGTGTGTTCTCATTTCTCTTGGGTAGATTCCTAGGAGTAGAATTGCTGGGTTTTATGGTAAGTTTATGTTTAACTTTTTAAGAAACTGCCAAACTGTTTTACAAAGTGGCTGTACCATTTTCCATTCCCACCGGCAATATATGAGGATTTGTTTCCCCCTTACCTTGTCAACACTTGTTGTCTGTCTCTTTGATTATAGCCATCCTGGTGGGTGTGAGGTAGTACCTCTTGTGGTTTTAATTTGCATTTCTCTGATGACCAGTGATCTTAAGTACCTTTTCATGTGCTTATTAGCCACTCATATATCTTATTTAAAACATCTATTCAAATCTTTTGCCTATTTTTAATTGGGTTGTCTCTTTATTATTGATTCATAAGAGTTCTTTGTTTATTCGGGATACAAAGTCCCTAATCAGATACAGGATTTGCAAATATTTTCTCCCAGTCTTTGACACTTTTTTTAAAAATTTTCTTAATGTGTCTTATAAAGTGCAAAAATTTTCAGTTTTGATGAAGTCTGATTTACCAACTTTTTCTTTTGTCGCTTGTGCTTTTGCTGTTGTATCTGAGATCTCTGCCTAACCCAAGGTCACGAAGATTTTCTCCTATGGTTTCTTCTAGAAGTTTTATAGTTTTAGCTCTTACATTTAAGTCTACGATCTACTCTGAGTTAATTTTTGTACATTATGTGAGGTAAGGATATAAATTCATCTTTCGGCTTGTGGATATTCAATTGTCCCCAGAACCATTTATTGAAAAGACTATCCTTTCCCCTATTGAATTGTCTTGGCATCTTTGTCAAAAATCAATTGACCAGAAACTTAAAGGTTTATATTTGGACTCTTGATTTTGTTCCATTGATCTATAAATCTATTCTTTGTTGTTCTTTTTTTTAAGATTTTATTTATTCATTTTTTTCCCCCCAAAGCCCCAGTAGATAGTTGTATGTCATAGGTTCACATCCTTCTAGTTGCTGTACGTGGGACTCGGCCTCGCGTTGGACGGAGAAGTGGTGCCTCGGGGCGCGCCCGGGATCCGAACCCGGGCCGCCAGCATCAGAGCGCGCGCACTTAACCGCTAAGCCACGGAGCCGGCCCTTGTTGTTCTTTTTTAATTTAAAAAATTCATATACAATTTATACACAGTAAAATTCACCCTCTTGAGTGTACTTCTTTGTGAGTCCTGACACGCTCATTTGTACATCCACCACCATGACCAAAATACACAACAGGTCCATTACCTCTTCACAAGTCCCTGAGCCCTTCTATTGTCAACCCTTCGCCCTCCTCCCCAACCCCAGATCTGCTTTCTGTCCTTATGGTTCTGCCCCTTCCAGAAAGCCATACAAATGGAATCCTGCAGCACTCAGCCCTCTGAGTCTGGCTTCCCTCTCCAACCTATCCTTTGACATCCAGAGTGATCTTTCCAAAATAGAAATCTGCCTCCTCCCCCATGCCTCTACATAAGCCCAGATAGACCTTGCAGGTCTGGCCTCTCCCCATAGGCCCTGCCAGTCTGGACGGACAGGATGGATGGCTCTTAAACCTGGTTTACAGAACAACCACCTGAGGGCTTGTCAATACCACACATTCCTGGGTCTTGGCCCCAGAGACTGAGATTCAGTAGATGGAGAAGGGCCCAGGGATCTGTTTTTCATATAAGCCTAGGGAGATTTGGAGGCAGGTGGTCACAGGCCACAATTTGAGAAAAACATCTGAGTCCAAAACACTTGTCTTTCCCCATACCTTCCATACCTGCTCGGGCTTACTTGTGTGGCCTCCTCTCCTTCCTTCTCCTCCGCCCCCACTCTGCCTCTGCATGCTGTGTCCCCTCCTGCCTCCTGCCAAGGGCTTTAGCACTTGTTTCCTCATGATGAAAGGTGCCCTCCCTTCCCCATCCACCAATTCCAACCTCCTCCCTGTCCCAGACAGCTTCCCCTCTGCTCCATCGTCACTTCCACAGAGAAGTCTTCCGTAAATCCCTGGGTGAGTCATTCTCCCAGAATAGTTGCCACCTGTCAATTATTAATTGTGTGTTCTTTGATTAACATCAGTCTCCCCGACTGGGCTGCGTGAGAATAAGGGCAGAGTCTGTTTTTGTTGCTCACCACTGTCTTCCCAGTACCAAGCATGGGGTTGGCATATAGTAGGTACTTCACAAATATTAGTTGAATGAATGAAGGAATGAATGATTGAGTGAATTGTCTACTGTGCTTTGCACAAGCTGCTCCATGGCCCAGGTGACCTTGCCCCCTCCCCGACTTCTTTGCTTAGTTCACTCATCCTGGTTTTTCAAGGGAAACCCAGTTTGGAGAAAGTTGAGGCTGGAGCCACTCCTTAATGGTCCCCCAGGGCAGACCTCTTATCACCCTGTGGATGTTTGTTTACCCAACTGTCACCCACTTCAGGCTGCTGCCTTTGATCTCAGCCTCCCAGGCCCCCTCCCAGCCCTCTCGTGTTTGCTTAGTGCTGAAGGAGAGAGCTAACGTGATCGCTCTAAGGGAGTCCCTTGGCACCTGGCCAGAGCTTTCCCCAGATCACTCCTCCCACCAAGAGACCCTGCCTAACCCCTTCTATTTCAGAAGAAGAAGCTGAGACCCTGGACTTTGTTCAGAAGGGAGGATATACCCTGGGTACCTCTGAGGGGCTAGGGTACAGCCTGGCTGGCTAGACTGTGGCAGGAGGTCAAGGGGCAGGCCATGTTGATGGACGTCCCTCTGGGTGGCTTCCCTCGTTCGCAGAGTGCTCTTTTCCCCAGGAGGTGAGACCCAGAGCAGCAGACAGGCCCCCTAGCTTGGCCAGTGAACTGACCAGGTTTGAGGAGGGGCATGCGGAAGAGTGGGCGGGGCGTTTCCCCTACCTTCCAGCCCCCAGCCCCTCCCTCCCAGGTCGTGAGGACTCTAGATCTTCGCTCTCGAGGCTGTTCAGTTCGACTGTTTTCCCCGCTTCTCCCCTGGCACCTGCTGTCGGGCTAAGAAGGGCGAAAACAATTCCAGCCAGCGTAGTCAGCGAGTCCCCGCCCCTGCTCCTGTGCTTCCTCCTCCCAGGCCCCTCCCCCGGCCCCGCCCCCACCTGCCCAAGATAATTTTAGTTTCCTTGGGCCAGGAGCCCGGACACACAGGACTGACCCTCCCCCCACTCCCACTTCAACGTCCAAAGTCGGGACACCTTCCTACTACCTGTAGAGAAGAGGGAGTGGATTTGAAATCAAGTCGATTTCGAATCTGGGGTCCCTAGACAGAGCCGGACTTCGGACGCTGTGTCCTGCTACTCCTGCTGGGGCTCCTCCAGGTAAGGGGACCGAGATCGGTCCCAGACGACAACCTGCTCCCACCCCCAGCCGCACCAGGGCCCCAGCTGTGCCCGTCTCTGGGCCAGGAGCTGGCTGGCTGCCCAGGTGTGCGGACAGGGGCCCGCCTGGCTCCCCTCCCTTCCCCCCTCAGTGATGTCAGGCCAAGGGCGGGGGCAGGAGGGGGACAGGTAGTTAAGGGCCTGGCGTCTCCCTCCCTAAACCAGTGGCCCCAGCCAGGTGTACCAACGCCCGGGGTCCAGGTAAGGACCAAAGCGAGCACTTCATCTTGGGGGTGGGGAGCTCCGGAAGGTCCCGGGTCAATATGGAAAGATTCGGCCTCCTGCTGTGTTACTCTGACGGCCTCACTTTCTTTTCCTCCAGTCTCCCATCCCGCCCTTTCCCTCCTCACCATCTGCCCTCAGTCTTTCCCAAATTCTCATTTCCTGTACTCCTTATTCCTTCCTTCCCTCTCTGTACCCGCCTCCTCAGCCCCCCGGAGAAACCAGCTGATGGAGATGGGAAAGTAAGATCTCAGATTTTCTCTCCGGGAGACGCGCTTTCCCGCTGAAACTAGCCCCTCCCCACATTCCCAGAAAGAGAGCTAGGAGCGGGTCCGAATATCGAGGGAGCTGCTCCGGGTCACTCCTTTGCTCAATTTGATTTTACCCCAGTTTGAGTTTCCCAAAGTCTTTACTAAACACCGACGTCTCCGCGGGGGGGAGGGGGGCATCCTCCAGTTTGGAGGGCAGTAAAGGTGAGGGATTCTCTAAATTGCTAGAGCTCCGTCTCTCCGGGAACACAGGGTCCTGTCCTTAGATGGGGGGCGGGGGCGGGATAGGCCCGGGGATCCCTCCCGGCTTCAGAATGAAGTGGGCTCGGAAGGCTGGAGGGGCCGATGCTGGGGGGTTTGCAGCGCAGTGGGGCCTAGGGAGAGTCTGTGGTGTTGGGGGGCAGATGGTCTTGTCTGTTTGAATAGTCTGGGGAAAGACCCGAGTCGGGGTCTCCCTGGCACGTTGGGGATGGAGAATGCACCTGTCCGCCATTGGAAGGCCTCCCAACCCCACTGCCCCTTAAAGAATGCCCCCTCTTGGTCGCCTATCCTGGACTCTGCTCTCCCTTCTCCCCCTGATATCCTGCTGGGGGGGCCCTCCATGAAGGCAAGCAGCCTGTAATGATTAACTCCACAGACAGTCTAGCATTCTTCCCAAATTAAACTTTAAAAGAGCTGCCCCCGCACCCCCTTGGGTGTTTTTTCCTGATCGAGGGAGTGGGCGGGGCCCCAGGGTCCTGGGCCCTGCTCCCAACTCTGGGTGACCCAGGGGTTTCCCCACCTCCTCACCTGGGCCCTGCACCCTGAGAGCTCCCCCAAAGGTTAAGCCTTCCCCACTACAATAAATCCCGATGGGGGTGGGACGTGGAGTACTGGGCCAGACTGGGGGCCTTTCCGCCACCTCCAGGTTCCCAGCCCAGGCCTCTGCCCTACCAGCCCCTCCCCCCACCCTGGAAGCACCCAAGGTGGCCTTGTTTTCTATCGGCTCTAAACACTGGGCCCTGCCACCCGCCCTTGGGGCCAGCCAGGTGGGGCAAGATTCAGGAAGTAAACAAGGAGGCAGGAGGCTGGGAGGGCGGGAAGGAGGGTGGGGCCGGAGCCACCGGGGCAGGAGAGGCGGTTAGGGAAGCCACAGTTTGGAGCTGCAGTGTGGAGGGGACAGATTGATTTCGGGGGTCAGTTTCAACAGAAGCTTCAGATCTCTTGGGAGGGGGGCTGCCCAGGCCCCACAGCTAGGACCCCGTTCTCCTCCCATCTCATCTCTTTGGTCCTGACTGCCCCACTCCTCTTTGCCTAGAAGGGTCTGGAGGGCAGCGTGGAGGGATGTAAAGCCAAAACCCAAGTCTTAAGTCGGCCCTTCTGCCCTCTGACCCCAGACTCTAATCGGATTTAAATCTGCTCCCCTCTCCCCTTCCAAACACTGTGCGATTCCTGCCCCCACTCCTCTGTTGGTCTCTGACTTCGTGGTGGGGGTGGCCCCTGCCATCCCTCCCCCTAGTCCTCCCCGGAATGAAGTCACCAGGGCTGTTTGCCAGAGGTTAGACAGAAGGTGGGAGTCTGGGCATTGTGTTTTGGTGTTGCTGTACTGATGTTTGTTGATGTTCGATAGTGGGTGTGTCTTGCCCTTTGCACCACAGGACTCTGAGCCCCCTCCCTCGCTCTCCCTCCAGGCCTTTCCCTGTCTGCCTGTGTCAGTCCTCTTGGGTGTTTTGACTTTCCCCTCCTGCTGCTGTGGCACCCCTCTGGCCAGGACACCCAAGAAAGTGTGTTAACAGGACCCTCATCCCCCAGAGGTGTTGCAGACGAGTCCCCTGGGCCTTCTGAGTCCTCCCCTGGGCCTTCTGAGTCCTGGGTGCTGGGGGGGGCAGCAGCAGCAGAATGAAAGCCTGGTAGGGCCCAGACAGGAGAGGCAGTGCTGTGCGTTTCCTTGGGTGAGCCAGGGGCACCACTGGGAGGTCGGCTCCACTCCAGATGGGCTTCTGAATCTGGGCCGGGCCTTTCTTCTCTCCTTCCTGTGTGAGGGGGCTCCTGGGCTGGGTGGTGGCTACAGGACTGGGGGCAGATTGCAGGTCCCACCTGGACTGGTGCAGTTGCAGTCGGAGGTAGGCCAAGGGTGGGGAAGAGGAGGTGATGTCAGAGGAGCCTCAGGCCCCGCATCCTCCTCCTTCTCCCCTATCCTGTTCCCTGCCCTGTGCCTCCCCCATTCCTCCCAGGCTGGTAGGATGGGGGCAGGAGTGGAGGGGGTGGGTAGAGGCAGGGTTGTTTGTGTTTCTCTTAAGCCAGGAAGTTGTTCGGATGAGTCAAGGTTGAATGGAGAGCCCCAGGCAGTACTGTCCCGCCCCACCCTGACTCACCTGTCCCCCAAATCCCCTCATGCCCTCACTTAAGGGTCAGGGGCCTGCCCTGTCCTGGGAGGGCAATCCCGGGGCACCCCAGGCAGCCTAACAGCACTGGCCCAGTGGCCAGAGAGCGGGCAGGGGGCTGGAACTGATGAGTTCTCCCAGGTCCTCCTGGGTCTCTGCCCAGCCAAAGGGGTCTTGGTTCCTGTGGAGGAGGGGCTTGTGCTGCCTCTATGCCCAGTGGACATCTTTGCCCCCTCTCTCCTATCCTTACTCGTCCCAGGTGCCTGTGCAGCGCCTGTGGGTGAGAAGACATGGGTAAGGCCCCAGCCTTGCCTAATAGTGCCAGGTGTCTTCAGACCAGTGGGTGGATAAGACAGGTGCACAGTAGTTGGGGCAGAGGCTGCACAGTGCGGCAAGGGAGCCCTTCAGTCTGCATGTGGAAAATCCAGGAAAGCTTCTCAGAGGAGACGGCTCTGGTATTGGGGCTTCAAGAAAGTTGGGGAGGGGGCCAGCCTGGTGGCACAGCAGTTAAGTTTGCATGTTCCGCTTCGGCAGCCCAAGGTTCACCAGTTCGGATCCTGGGCGCAGACCGACTCACTGCTCATCAAGCCATGCTGAGGCGGCATCCCACAGAGAAGAACTAGAACTCTACAACTATGATACACAACTATGTACTGAGGCTTTGGGGAGGAGGAAAAAAAAAGAAAGTTGGGCAGGAGGAGGGACCTGGGGAGGGCACACAAGGTTTGGGAGCTGCTGGGGCAAGGGCCCCCAGGCTGGCCCTCTCCCTCCCACTGCAGCCCAGCTGAGCCCGCCTCCTGCCCTCCTAGTTTCTGTCCTTCCCCACCTCCTTCTCCCCTTCTGTGCATCACTCAGCACTTGGGCAGGCGTTGCCACAACAGGCTCTGGCAACCAGGTCTGGCAACGAAGTGCTGGAAAAACCCGGGGCAGAGCCCAGAGGAGTGAGTGCCTCATGCTTGGAGATGGAGGGGTGGCCCTGTGCCCTGACACTGAGAGCCTGAGCCCCAGACAGTCTGTGGGTTGTGGAGTCTGTTGCTGCTGCCTGGCTTGTGGTAGGGGGACCCCCTTAGCTCTTCCCCTGGGCAACTTGGGGCTAAAAGAAGAGCACTGGACCTGGAGCCCAAACACTGGGTTCCACTCCCTGGGTCACCTGTGATGGGCAAGGATGCTTCCTCCTCCGGGACTCGGTATCCCCTTGTGTAAAATGGGCTCATGCTACCCTTCCAGGTAGAAAGGCTCCAGGGAAACTCCAGTTCGAGGGGGAGCATTGAGGTGCAGTGTAAACTCTGAGGGGGGTGTGAGGTCGGGTGGTCCGGGTCCTCTTGGCCCCTCTCCCCGGGACAAGGGCAAAAGAGCAGCTGCATTCAGCCCCCTCTTCTCCTTCAGATGTCATGGAGCTGGGTCTGTCTCCACCTCATCCCAGCAGCTCCCCAGAAGACCTGTACCTGGCCCCTGGCACCCCTCCTGGGACTCCCCCACCTCCTGACACCCCTCTGCCTGGGGAGGTGAAGAGGTCCCAGCCTCTGCCCATTCCAAACAGCAGGTACAATGGGGTGCTGGGACTGAGGAGGGGCTGGGGGGGCAGTGCTGGGTTATACGTAGAAGCTTGCAGTCAATCCCTCCCCTCCTTGGCCACAGGAAACTTCTTCGAGAGGAGGAGCTGCGGGCAAGCTCTCTACCCTCCATTCCCAACCCCTTCCCTGAGCTCTGCAGTCCTCCTTCACAGACCCCCATTCTCGGGGGATCCTGCAGTGCAAGGGGGCTGCTCTCCCGAGACGCCAGCCGCCCGCATGTGAGTTGTCCTGGGAAAGAGGAGGCAGGGATATGGGGGTGTGACGGGACTGGGTGGATATAGCCCCACTTCCATGAAGGTGGGGGATTTGGTCAGGGGTCCCTGAGAGTATAACAGGTGCAGGAAGGGAAAGAATCACCTTTTGCCCTTCTTCAAGTCATCTGCACTTCTTGGGGTGCAGGTAGTAAAGGTGTACAGCGAAGATGGGGCCTGCCGGTCGGTGGAGGTGGCGGCGGGTGCCACGGCTCGCTACGTGTCCGAAATGCTGGTGCAGCGAGCTCATGCCCTGAGTGATGAGAACTGGGGGCTGGTGGAGTGCCACCCCCATCTAGCGCTGGGTGAGTTGGGCTGCAGGGGGCTGCCTAGGCTAGAAGGCAATACTTCACATCTTTGGCTAGGCAGGTGGCTCATCTGGGGGGGCCTGGCTCGTCTCCACTGACCCCTGCTTTTTGCCCTTGACCGCAGAGCGGGGCTTGGAGGACCATGAGTCGGTGGTGGAAGTGCAGGCCGCCTGGCCCATTGGCGGAGATAGCCGCTTCGTCTTCCGGAAAAACTTCGCCAAGTATGAACTGTTCAAGAGCTCCCCAGTGAGTGTGTGTGAGGGGAGTCTGGGCTCTGGGACACCCTGATCCCCAACCTGGACCCTCAATCCGAGTGCTGACTCCTTTCTCCCCCAGCACTCCCTGTTCCCAGAGAAGATGGTCTCCAGCTGTCTTGATGCCCACACGGGCATATCCCACGAAGACCTCATCCAGGTGAGGGGACATCCCCATTTCACAGCATATTCACGATTCCCCAGGATCGCCCATTGTTTCTCGGCCCTTAAGCCTTGTGCCTCCCCTCTATGTGATGGAAAGAGCCCAGTGCAGTCCTATGTCCTATGGGACCGTGGATAAGTCCCTTTCCCTGCCTGAGCATCAGTTTCTTCATCTGTTAAATGGGGACAATGAGTGCATGTGGAGCACCTCCTGTCATAAAGGCGGGTCCTTTGAAGGCCTGGGGGTGTGTGTGAGTGTGTGTGTGTGTGTGTGTGTGAGTGAATGTCAGGCCCCCTCTAGGCCTCTCACCCTCTTCTTCTCCTCTGGCCTTAGAACTTCCTGAATGCAGGCAGCTGCCCAGAGATCCAGGGCTTTCTGCAGCTGCGGGGGTCAGGACGTAAGCTTTGGAAGCGCTTCTTCTGCTTCTTGCGCCGGTCTGGGCTCTATTACTCCACCAAGGGCACCTCCAAGGTGAGGTCTTAAGGGTGACGGCCCGAGCCCCTCAGATGCCCCATCCCCGGTCCTTCTAGGAGTTGCCCCCTCCCTGTTGGAACGCCTGGACCTTTCTCCCCCTGGGCCCTGTGACCCTCAGCTGCTCCTCTTTCTCTCCCAGTTTACCTGTCCCGGGAGGTAGCTGGGGGAAAGGCAGGTGAACTGAGTTCGAGTCCTGGCTCTACTTCTATTTGCTGTGTGACCTGGGGCACTTCTCTGCCCCTCTCTGGGCCTGAAATCTCTCCAACTGGCTTAGGGGGCAGTAGTAGGGGGATGGGGTCTGCCTGTGACAAGTCCTGCTCACCCGTGCTGTGCAGGATCCTAGGCACCTGCAGTACGTAGCAGACGTGAACGAGTCCAACGCGTATGTGGTGACCCAGGGCCGCAAGCTCTACGGGATGCCCACAGACTTCGGCTTCTGTATCAAGGTGAAGACCCTGGCCTGGCCTGGGGGTGGAGGGAGAGCTGCTCAGGCCCCGGGATCCTACCTGAGGCTTCTGAGCTCCATCTGGGACGCCCAGACTCCTCTCCCTGCACGGTGCCCTGCCCCACGGAGACAGGAGACAGACACCTGGTCCTAAAGCCAGTTTCCTCCCCCTGTAGCCGAACAAGCTTCGAAATGGCCACAAGGGGCTTCGCATCTTCTGCAGTGAGGATGAGCAGAGCCGCACCTGCTGGTTAGCCGCCTTCCGCCTCTTTAAGGTGAGGCTCTGGGGCTGGCCTGGGGGGCTGGCCCCACCCTCGGGACCCCTGGCATGAGGGAGGAGTTATATCTGTACCCTCAGGAAGTCTCCAGAATGAGGGGGCATCACAGCCTTGCTCTCTCAGAATCCCTGGTCCAAGGCTGGTGTTGCAGCTCTGGCTTCAGGAAGCTCCTTATCCAGGGCAGAGACGCAGCCCCCTGCTCTCGGAGAGTTCTGGTCTGGGAGGTGTCACAGCCTAGCTCCCAGGACCTGCTTGACCTCAGGCCCTCTTTCTCTCTCCACCCCCCAGTATGGCGTGCAGCTGTATAAGAATTATCAGCAGGCACAGTCTCGCCACCTGCGCCCATCCTGTGTGGGTTCCCCACCCTTGGTGAGTATGCAGAGGGGCATTAGCCGGGGGTGGGCACCCAGGCCCCGTCCCGGGGATACTTGGGTCCTGTTCTGACCGCCCCTCCATCCTATCCCATCTGCAGAGAAGTGTTTCGGATAACACCCTGGTGGCCATGGACTTCTCCGGCCATGCTGGACGTGTCATTGAGAACCCCCGGGAAGCTCTGAGTGCAGCCCTGGAGGAGGCCCAGGCCTGGAGGGTGAGGAGCCTGCACCCATCTGGGTGTTTGTACTGGGACCTACACTCCATATGGTTTCCATGGAGCGGGAGGAGGAGAGGGGTGAGGGGAGGCCGCCAGCTGTGGAAAGGGGCTCTACATTCTTGAGGGGCTGGGTAATACTCCAGCCATGCCCTGACCCCTCCTGTCCCCCACTGCTCTGCAGAAGAAGACGAACCACCGTCTCAGCCTGCCCACCCCATGCTCAGGCGCAAGCCTCAGTGCAGGTGAGTAAGGGCCCAGCGTCCCTGGGAGTGGGGGCTGCCTTGGCTTCTCTGAGCTTTCCTGGTGGGGGTGGTTAGTATGAGGGTCCCCTCCCTGGAATGACTGCCCATCTGCCTCCCCCCACCCCAGCCATCCACCGCACCCAACCGTGGTTCCATGGACGCATTTCCCGTGAGGAGAGCCAGCGGCTCATCGGGCAGCAGGGCCTGGTAGACGGGTAAGGGGCAGGGCTGGGCCGGGCAACATGCCCAGGGATGAGAGACCCTGGGTAGGTGGCAGCCATGTGTCTTCTGGTAACGTTGCCCTGTCTCCTGGTAGCCTGTTCCTGGTCCGAGAGAGTCAGCGGAACCCACAGGGCTTTGTCCTCTCTTTGTGCCACCTGCAGAAAGTCAAACATTATCTTATCCTGCCGGTGAGTAATCAATCCCTCCCTCCCCAAGAGTCCCAGATTCCTGCAGTGGAGACACGGGACTCCCAGCAACCTGTCCTCCTCATCAGCCCCCTCAGGAAGCTCCCCCGGCCCCCAGGGCGTCCGGGTCTCCTGCGCTCTCCTTTCTCCCTGCGTAAACAACGGGGACCTCAGCCCTGGCCAAGGAGGGACCTCCTCAAGCCTCGTGCCCTTCCCTGACCTTCCGCCCCCTATGGTCGTACCCCAGAGCGAGGAGGAGGGCCGCCTTTACTTCAGCATGGACGATGGCCAGACTCGCTTCACTGACCTGCTGCAGCTCGTGGAGTTCCACCAGCTGAACCGCGGCATCCTGCCATGCTTGCTGCGTCACTGCTGCACCCGCGTGGCCCTCTGACCGCCGCACAAGCAGGCACGGTCTCAGCCAGCTCCAGGCTGCCCACCACCCCCTCCACTCGCAGGGTGGACTTGGAGGGGACAGAAGGTGGGGACAGGATCGTGAACAATTGGAGGGCTCCCTCACTCCAGTTTTCTCCTCTGCTCCTTTTCCTCCCTCAGGCAGAAAGTGCTCCCCACCAGTCCACCCTCAACCCCTCTCTTCAAGGGAAGGTACTTGTGTTGGCCCTCTCCCCTTTGTGGAGCTCCAGGGCACTGCTCTGGGGCAGGGCATTATGGGAGAAATGGGGGCAGCCCAGGTGGTCTTACACCCCACACTTTGTACAGACTGAGAGGCCAGTTGATCTGCTCTGTTTTATACTAGTGACAATAAAGATTATTTTTTGGTACACATGTGAGTTCCGTCTGGCAAGAGCTGGCTGGCTGGAGTAGAGAAGGGGAGCTGGAGAGGTGGGCACCGGTTAAGGCCTTGGTGAATGTGTCAGATGGATTGAGGCCGTGTACCGACCAGCCTGGATGTTTAAGGGCAGTGGTGGTCTTGGTCATCTGAGAGTCTCCAGTGTCCAGCATGGAGCCTGGCCCAGACTGGGTGCCCAGTAATTGCTTGTTAAATGAATGAATGGACAAGGGACTGTCATCCAGGTGAGATCTCCTGACAGGACCTAAAGCTATGGAGGTAACTCTGACAAGACCTGGGGACGGAGCTGAGTCAGCAGCATCCTTATCCTCTGCAAGTCGTGGACTAACTGGTGGAATAATGAGTCCTGACAAAGACAACAGTTATGCATCCACCACCAAGTCACACAACTCCACTGTGGGAAGCTCCATTACCTTCCACAAGTCCCTGTGCCCCCCACTGTCGACTCCCCCCCTCTCCTCTCCAAGGCCAGATCTGCTTTCTGTCCTTATAGTTAGTTCTGCTCCCTCCAGAAAGTCATGCAAATGGAATCCTACAGCACTCAGCCCTCTGAATCTGGCTCCCTCTCCAACCTACCCTTCACCTTCCAGGTGATCTTTCCAAAATAGAAATCTGTCCCCTCCTCTGTGCCTCCACTTAAGCCCAGATAGACCCTGCAGGGTCTGGCCTCTGCCCACTGCCCACACCAGCCTATATTTTCGTCTAAAGAGTTTTGATGAAGAGTTTGATAGTTTTAGCTCTTACATGATGGGGGAGCTTTATAATAAATGTATCAGTTTGGCAACACCTGAACCTGCTGCTCGGTCTTCAAATCACAAAGAGACAGACCTTCCCTCCACACATGTGAACCCCAGTGAGGTATTGTTTTTGCCAAGAAATCAAACCTGAATCTGATCCCCTGGATCCAACTACTAGTTTATCGGAAATACAGGGAACAGAGGAACACGTGAAATGACACAGGGGGATATAATTACCAAAATCCAGATTGGGAAACTACAGATAACCCAGTTTCTTCTTCAACAACAAAAAAATTACAAGAAGAGATGGGGATCTCTAGGTTTCAAGAAATTTAGACATATACCAACCAAGTGTAATATGTTGACCTTATTTGATTCAAATCCAAACTAGCTAACTGTAAAAAACATGAGCAATTGGGGGAAATTTGAACTCTGATGAGTATTTGATGATATTAGGGAATTATGGTTAACTTTTAAGGTGTGATAATGGTATTGTGGTTATGTTTTTTTAAAAAAGTCTTCAAAAAGTTTTTAGGGGCCCAGCCCAGTGGCGTATTGGTTATGTGCGCACACTGCACTTTGGTGGCCTGAGGTTCGCAGGTTCAGATCCTGGGCATGGACCTACATACGGCTTATCAAGCCATGCTGTGGTAGGCGTCTCACATATATAGTAGAGGAAGATGGGCATGGATATTAGCTCAGGGCCAATCTTTCTCAGCAAAAGAAAGAGGAGTATTGGCAGCAGATCTTAGCTCAGGGCTAGTCTTCCTCACCAAAAAAAAAAAAAAAAAGTTTTTAAAAAGATGCTAGATATAGTTCATTTCTAGAAACGATGATGAAAATATAGGATTGATGCTAATTGGCCTATACCTTTAAGAGATTCATTCTAAAGGATTTATAGGTGAAATGCTGTCTCAGCTTTTTTTTAGAATAACCCAGAGATTAGGGGAGAGCGTGTGGGTATAGTCATGGGTTGGCCATGAGTTGACACTGGTTAAAGTTGGGTAATAGGTACATGGGGATTCATTAAATTATTCTCTAATTTTGTATAAGCTTGAAAATTCCATAATAATTTTTTTTGTTTTTTGAGGAAAGTTAGCCCTGCGCTAACATCTGTTGCCAATCTCTTTTTTTTTTTCTTTTTTCTCCCCAAAGCCCCAGTACGTAGCTGTGTATCATAGTTTAGAGTTGTAGCTCTTCTGCGTGGGATGCCACATCAGCATGGCTTGATGAGCGGTGCGTAGGTCTGCGCCCAGGATCCGAACCAGCAAACTGTGAGCCGCCAAAGCATACCAAGCGATCTTAACAGCTACTCCACCGGGCCAGCCCCAATAATTTTTTTTTTTTTTTAATAGAGAATCTCTCCCCAAATCTCTGAGATTGGTTGGGCATGAGGTGGTGGAATCCCGTTTTGTAGATGAGGAAACTGATGGCTCAGTGAAGAGACCAGCCCCAAATCACAGTCAGTGGGAGAGCCAGGATTTAAACCCAGATCTGAGTACCAGGTCTGGGTTGTCCTGCTACCCTGCCTGGCTGACTTCCAGGTGGGATTCCTAAGTGGTCTGTAGAAGGGTCTTCCTCTGGAGAGCCCTTCGCTTCTCTGCAGTCCTGGTCTCTGGCTGGTGGGGGATTGTCTTAAGGTGACCTGGAGAAGCACCAACCACCACAGCCAGCCCTTAGGCCAGGCTTGGCAGCCCTGGTAACCACTTGTGACCGAGGCACCCTGACCTTGGCTAATCCCAGCCTGGGGAGCCAGGCCTGTCAGACAGAGATGAGCAGAGATGCCTCATCCACCCTCCAGCCTGGAACCTGCTGAGGATGTACCCTGAAGAAGCACTGCAGCCCAGGCGTGAGAGCGTTGCAGATTTTGTTTCTTTTTAGCAGGATTTGAAGAGGCAGGGACCAGCACAACCTGCTGCCCGCCACCTGCCAGCCGCCATGGTTCTCCCAACCATCCCGTCTCCGGCTGCTCCTTGGGCCCGAGCTGGCTGGTGCTGGCTGTGTGGCTAGCTGTGGATGCCCAGAGCCACTTCTGAGGTCTGGGTGCTAGGAGTCCGTGCTGGGGTGAGAGTAAAGGGGTCAGAACGAGTCACCTCTTAGGCATGTCTAGGGATTTAGGCTGCACAAAAACAGGACCCAGTGTCCCCTCACAGCCTGAGGCACCAGCAGGGTTGTGACAAAGCTCTTCTACGTCAATAAGCTAATCAGAGTATGTGACAGATATTGTTCCCATGGTATATACAGGAAACTGAGGCTTGAAGAGGGTGACCCACCTGAGGTCACAGGTGGAGTTAGGGACAGAGATCAGACTCAGTCCATCTTGCAGATGGTGGTACACAGCCCTCCTTGCCCTGCCCTTTGTTCTCTGCCCCCTCCCCTCTCAGTGCTGGCCACTGTGAGGGACCTGGGCTGCTGGGGGTCCTTAGAGGTGGCAGCTGGCTCAGCCCTGAGCTGGATATTAGAAATCGGCAGCTGGACATCCTTGGTGAGTAGCCGAGATCTCTGGCTTCTTGGAGGAGAGGCAGCAGCTGAGAATGTGGGGGGCAAGGGCCCCTCAGGGCCAGCTTGCAGAGGGACCCGAGGCAAGTTTCCCCAGTTCTGAGGGTGTGGGAAGGCTGCTGCTCTACCACTAAAGAGTCTGCAGCACGGCCCACAGCGGCCAGACAGCAGAAGGGACTGCCAAGTATAGCTGCAGTGCTGGATAGTAGAAGCTTGCGGCTATGAGGAAATCAGGGCGGGGGGGTGGGGAGGGTGAAGGGAGGCAGGGGCATTGTGAAGAAGGTAGGGCTGGCACCTCAGATACTGTCTTTTCAATATTAAGTTATTGAGTTTGATTATAAAAAATAGATGTGCTTGTTAAAGATCATTTCAGAAATCAGTTTGGAAAAGAAAAGGAAATTCCCCTTAATCTCCCCATGCTGAGGAGGATCCAGGCTTGAGAGAGGGTGATGCAGGGCCCACAGCCAGGGGAGTGGCCCTAAATGGCCTGCAGCACATCATAGACACCAGCTCCTGAGGCTGGTGTGGCTGGTGTGAGCATGGCACCAGAGTGCATAGCCATCCCTGGCAACACCACGGGCCTGTAGGGAGATGTGGCCGCAGGGTTGGCCTCCCCGCCTGCTCAAGTGTGGAGGGCAGGGAGGGCTGGTGCCAATTTTCTGGACTCTGGGAACAGGTGGGCATGACTGTAGGGGAGCCTACCTCCCCTAGGATGCCCTGGGTGGGGCATCCAGACAGACAAAGCTCTGGCCAGTTCGTGCTGTCCCTGCTCCCCAGACATCCTGGTCAATGACATCTATGCAGCCTCCGAGTTCAAGGGTGGAGAACCTCCTGGTGCAGGCCTGAGGGTTCAACATCAGGTAAGTGACCCTGCCAGGCTTCTTCCTCCTGCCCCAGTGCCAGGCACCCTGAGGAGGGAGGGAGGGAGGAAAGAAGACAGGCAGGGAGCCCAAGGCTACTTGGAAGGATCCTTTCTTTTTTTTTTTTGCTGAGGAAGACCAGCCCTGAGCTAACATCCATTGCCAATCTTCCTACTTTTTCCCCCCTTTTTCTCCCCAAAGCCCCAGTAGATAGTTGTATGTCATAGTTGCACATCCCTCCAGTCGCTGTATGTGGGACGCCACCTCAGCATGGCCGGACAAGCAGTGCATTGGTGCGGGCCCGGGAGCCGAACCCGTGCCGCCAGCAGTGGAGCGTGCGCACTCAACCACCAAGCCACGAGGCCGGCCCTGGAAGGATCCTTTCTTCTGAACTGTCTCTACAAGCAGTTTTCTAATGGCTTCCTGAGTCCAAGTGTTCCAGCAGGGGTTGAGGGGCAGGTCGGGGTGGGGTTGGGGGGAGCACCGCCTTTATATCTGGGAGTTCAGCTTCATGGTATATTTGGAAAAAAGGCTTCCACTGCTGAACCACTGATCTGGTCCAGCAGACAGAAAACAGGGCCCAGAGAGGTCAGGGGTTGGTGCAACTTGCACAGCGGTGAGGTCTGTGGCAGAGTCTGCTTTCTTGTCCTGTGCTGTTGGCAGAACCTCAGCTTTGGGGCTTTGGGAGTGAGGTGTACCACGGTCTCTTAGGACAGAGGACTCCAAGCTTCCAGCTGGGGTGGGGAGTTGGGAGAAGAAGGGAGAGAGGGAGCTGGATCTTTGGGGAATTGGATGTTGCAGACCGGAGTCTAGAGCCACAAGGGACTGGGTGATCCTGGGGGCTGAGGCTGGTCCCCAGGGGTTCCCCATGATCTCC